TACTTTTGGGTAGGAGAGCTATTGAAGAAACTTTTGTGATTAATCACAGTTTATGTAACTGAAATATAGTTTTTCAAAACACCGTTTTTCCATTACTGAACGAGATCAGCGGTTGGCAGCCTGTGGTCTGCAGACCAGCTCTGACCCACAGACGTGGGGCTTTAGTGGCATTCGGCAGCAGGAAGGCCCCTTCTGCAGAAGTTCTACCTGCATTGCCACAGCAATGAAGGCTGGCTGTGGACTCTTTCCCCATGCTGCCAAGGAAACATGTAATGCCAGCAGCAAGGTCCTAGCACTCAGCTGCCCATCTCTGATGTTGGGTGGGTCATTCCAGCCCACAGTCAGAAAAGAATGCCTACCTCTGAAATAAATGGTCACATGGATGGCTCTGTTCTCAAAATGCAACAACCTTGATGCACTTTGTACACACTGATTTTGCAGTAATTGTATCAGGAATGACATCTCCCACACTATCTCCAATTTTTAAACCTGGCTACTTTTTTTCTTTTAATAAAATACAAAGAAGAGGAGTGGCTCCTACAACAGACTGTTTGTAAGCCAGGGAAATAGAGATAAAGCAGCAACAAAAGAGAACAAAAACATTGGTACTGCTGTCTGTCTATTGAGGGGAGCAGTAAACGATGCTCTAAATTAGTGATTTAATATCACAGAATCTATTACTGCATAACAAAGCCCACAGTCTACTTCTTTTCCATGCTTTTCATACATGGTCAGTTGCAGGAGCCACTCCTTTCCTTTATTTTATTAGAAGTCAAAAGTGTTAAATTTAGTGCATCTTGAGCAATAATTTTTTTTAAATGAGTAAAGATCAGGGCTGTCCAATTTCTGTACCCCATAGGCTGCAATGCCCCACTCAAAAGGGACAGGGACTGGATCCTGGAGGAGGGAGTGGGAGCTTGAAGATTTCAGCCACAGCAGTACATGAGAGATGCAGGAGTGGCACCCACACAGGAGCCTGCAGGCACAAGTTAACCACTCACAAACTGTATGCAGCCTACAGGCTACCAGTTTGACAACCCTGGTAAAATCTACTGATTTCATGTATTTAGAAATGTGTCTTGAATTTTAAAATGTAAAACTTACTCCTTCCATACTTCTGTAATACTCCAGCAGATAGTACTGTAATACATAAACTGCTATATGACATCAGCGGAGCTGGGAGAAAGTAACCTAAATTCTATTCTTTGTGTCCAGCTACAAAATCATTTACTAAGCTTGGTCAGTTTCACTTGTGGAAATTTAGTGAATAAAAAGGGATTTTACAGATTACACTGAATGTACAATTTGAAGAAAATGAAATTGTACCCTGGTGTTTTATGACCTGTTATGAGACAAAAAACAGAAAATCCAACTTGTCTCTCAAATTCCAGGGTGCATTTCTGGTTTTTGAAATCAGAAAAACAATAACAATGCATGAACCACACACACACAATCTGAAAGCCACTGAGGTAAGCGTTCCATTTCTACTGCATTTTTATTTTTCAGAGTAGAACTAAACTTTATACCTCAAAAGTAGTTTCAAATGTGTGTGTGTACATATATGAGTAAAGATCAAGGCCATAAATATATATTGCCATAAAAGCTAACATTTTTATTTTTTTCAGTTAAGGCTGCAACAATGCTAATCTTACCTGGGACTATTGCAGTTTCACCAGAACCAGACTTCCTATAGAAAGCCTTGAGTAAATGTATTTAAATCCATTTTTATGAAACTCAGACTCCTCTGGAAAACATTTTTCAGAAACAGAACACTTATTAAACGATGGATAAGTATTCATATAACAGTACCATGGCTCATTGTGATCTACTTGTGCAGCATCATCAGTTGGTAGCAGCCTCCATTTTAAACAACTGCCATTCTCACATTGAACCCATATTTTGTTTAGATAAAAACTGTTTTTAATTACAGAATCCATAGCAAAATCCTCGTGTTTTCTAGTTCTCCAAAGGTCAAATTTTGTAGGTAAATTGTATTCAATCTGAAATATAAAAAAAAATACATTTATACAGGTAAGTATTTCCTTTATAATTTTATTACCAAGAAAGTACTTTTTTTCCAGAGCCTTTTTCTATCTAACAAAAACATCCCCACATCCAATCTGGGGAGCATTCAGGAAGCATTCCTCAGCCCCCAACTCTTCCAGGTCCCAGGGGTAGTCGAGCTGCTGCTGCTTACCTGCACCTTCTCCATACCAGGATGACTCCAGTCTTGGGAAGGTGCGAGGAGCATTCACCCACTGCTCCACTCCTGGTTGAGGTGTGGAGCAGTGGGGAAGCGTACAGGCATCAATTCCTGAGAGAAACTGCTGGACAAAGTTTTGAGCATGAAGTATCATCCCTCAAGTATAAATGGATCTAAAAGTTTGTCTAACATATCTCCCAACCATTCAGCTGGTCTAACAAAAAGGTAACACAAAAATATCCTTGCCCTTCATACACCTTCAAAAACATCATCACTACAACTCTCCAACCTTTCAAGAAAACCTATTCATTCAGATTTGTAAACAGGATGTAGACCGTATTTAGGCATGTGGAAAAGAACTTTTGGGTGCCTGCTACTTTAAGGATGAGAGCAGGCAGCAGGCAGGTGTGGGCCAGCCCTGAGGTGATCACATGACTGCAGGAGGGCAATGTGCTAGAAGGAGGAGGCTGAGCAGCCTCCATTTTAGCTCAGGCCCTCAGGGGAGACTGCAGTTTGCTGGCTGCAGCTGTGGAGAGACACTGCCCAGCTGGAGCTGCGGCTCACATCTTAGAGGTAAGGGCAGGAGCTATGGGGTTGGCAGGAGGCTCCTGGTTCTGGGTATGACCAAAAACTATACCTTCCTGGGAAGGATGGTCTGGTGGGAGTACCTGTGGCGGGATGGTTCCCCAGAAATGCCAGACCAGTTGCCTCCCCAGTGAAAGGTGGGGAGGGGCACCTTATAACCCCAGCCCCCACAACCTGGTGGGTAACCCCATAGAGGGGACAGGCAAAGGGTCCAGGCATTGTTATCAGAGGCCTGAGAGCCAAATGGCATAAGGCCTGTGTTTGGAGGGGCCCAAGAAAGTGGACTTGAGAGGGAGTGGGCTAGCTGCTCAAAAACCTGACCAGAGGGACCCTTGATTGGTCAATGCTGGGGCCAGGACCAGGAGGGTAAAAAGGGCCAGAGTGCCCACTGTAAGGGATGCCCAGAGCCAGGGGGCCTGGGGTTCTGAGTGGCCTAGAGCCAGGGCCAGGGCCTGTGTGTCCAAAGGTCCCAGGAAGGGGGCCACTGCCGAGAGGGAGAAGGGTTCAGGGAGCTTATCAGCCCAGAATGAGGGTAGAGTAGAACACCTGAGAGGAGGGATCCAGGTCACAGTCCGATATTAGACTCGAATATAATGGGGCCCAGCGTGGGGCCGGAGCCACTTCAGATGCCATCTGCAAGGCATGGGATACAATGTAGCGGCAGTACGGAGCCGTGTACAACGCCCCTGGCATCTGGGCATTAAATGGGCAGTCTCCTGCATTTTACACAAATTATTTATTCATCAAGTCAAGGCAGGTGAAACCGGGCATACTGCTCCTAGACAGGTGGGCAGGCCGAAGATTAAACTCGGTCTTGAGGTGGTCCCCTGTCACAAGGCAAATGGATTCTAAAAAGTAATTCCAAATATTCCTAGTCCAGCAGCCACAAAATCCCAAAGTATCTAAGAGCACCTATATACATGCCAGATGTTTGCTCCAATGCATGCTAATTAGCACGCATCAGAGCAGACTCAATTAAATGAGTCTGCTGGAGTGTGCTAATTAGTGCACTATTTTTCAACGTTCCCACACTTCAAAATCATGGCAGGGGCACTTTAACTAAACCTTATCAAATGAGTTTTAGTTAAATCATCCCTGCTACCATTTTGAAGCATAGGGCGCTGAATACAAATGACGCTGTGGATGCTTTAATTAGAGCGGCTCTTGGAGCTAATTATAGTGCCCCCTTCACCCTGAACATGCATATAGATGCCCTAAATTTATTTGGTGATTGCATTATGGACTGCAAAGACATCCAAATTGCTCGGTTTTCCATGCATGCACAAAAGCACCTCTGTCTGAGCAGCTAGGTACCCAACTACCACCTAAGTTCTGTTACAGTCAAAGTAGATCCCCTAGAGGAAACCAATCCACTAAGTGCACTCAGAATGCCTAACGCATTCCAACATTCCTAGTACTTAGAATACTCACCCAAGAAGTAGGAGACTGATTCTAGGCCCTCCTCAGTCTGAGGGCTTTCAAACCCTATGTCTCCATCCTCCCAGGATAATACCCTAACCAGAATAATGGAGGTAGGGAGACCCTCCATATGGAGCCAGAAGGACACAAAGCAGGAGAGAGCACAACATGGTTAGTGATTAGAGCACTCACCTGGGAGAGTGGGTTCAGGTCGTAGAACAACTGGTTCAAGCCATTTGGTACCAACATCAGTGGTCAATGAAATTATTTTCAGTTTTAATGCACCTTTAACAGCAGTGACCATAGGCAACGCATGGGGGGGTACATGTGCACCCCCTGAGAGCACTGGTACCTCCCCTGAGAGAGAGTGCTCTCGGTTCAGGCAATGGGCAGATTGGGCAGGCAGAGCACTGGTGCTCCCCCCCACCCTGAGAAATGCCGCTGGCACTTCTGGGTGCGCTGCCAGCACTTATAGGCTTGGTGACTGGCTGCTGGGGGACTCCCCCCTGCTGCTGACACCACTGCGGCTGCCTGCAGATGGTCCCCGCTTGGCCTGCCTTCCCCAATGACATCCGTGTCACCATCTGTGCATGGTCACATGCCCCCCCAGCCTCAGGAGGCACACATCGCCTATGGCAGTGACCCTGGAGTTTTTATGAGGACTCACAGGTGGACCAGTAGAAGGTAATCTCTGTTTCTTCCCATTTGGGAAGAAGCTCCTTAGAAGACTTACACTTAGGCTTAATTGTTTGGGCTGCTTTGCCAGGTAATTCAGTCATTGCAGAAGAAGCAGCCATGCAGGCTATAAACAGATGTCATCAAATAACATGTATCAGCTATGCCCGGATGTGTCCTGGAACAGTTGATTTGTTTCATGGAGAGAAATAGCCACTGCCCACAGGGTCAGGCCCCTGATATTGCTGGGGCTCTAGAGGAACCATCCTGCAGGACAACATTTAGGGTGCACCTCAGTAAGTGAGGAAATAAGAGGTTGCCCCATTTGCAGAGGCTGCCCTCAGTTGCAGTTTCCAGGTATGTCTCTGCAAGTAGGGAAACCTGGGGCAATTCTGATTCAGGGTGCACCTCTGCAACTGGGGAAACCCAGGCAGTCACTCCCAGGGCTTCAGGAATTCTTCAGGAACACTGTCTGTAGGGAAATTCCAGGGCATGCAAGATCAGGCCCCTGAAGCCCTGGGAGTGTCTGCCTGGGGTAGCTGGAAAGTACATCTGCCAAATCACACAACTCAATACCACCTTTTGTCATAGCCACATATTTGGGCAATTTTATTTTATGGCAGCACAAAAGAAATATCTGTTTGCAGCCTTATTTTAATTACATGGCCAAAACCAATTTAAGGTAAACCTGGATGGATGTGCTATCGGACTTTCCTGATTTAGGTTAAACCAGTTTATTGAACTTCTGTCCCAGATCCCCTCCAGATTCAAGTTAACTCAGAGTCCCCCGGCATCCCAGGATTCTTTGCACCTCCCCCACAAACCCCTCCCTTCACGGGGTGGGTGGGCAAGCCTTGGCCCAAGCTGTCTGCTCCAGCTGAGCAGGGAGGCTTGCTCTAGCACCCCCCGGCTTCTAGCCTGAGCCACTGCAGGCATATGGCTGCATTACCAGAATCAAAAGTGAATGTCTGTTCACTTACTTATCGATTCAATCTATGCAGATTAAACTAAGCTGTAAAAATTGAATCAATTCAGCCTCAGGCCTTTTGACTGTCTGTAGCCTAAAACCCTAAGTACTTTCTGAGAAGGACCTACAGGTATCACACTGATCAGGAATGTAACCCTCACTGAAAAATTAAAGTCTTGTGTACCCATTAATCAACAGTATGACACCATCACAAGAATAGGCATCATTTAAGGCAAAGCAATCTATAGTCAGATATTTGGATCTTTGTACTAAAATAAAATAAAAATGTCATAATTGGAAAGAAGGTAGTAAAACTCTAGTACTATGTTAGTTTTTGTGGTGTGTAAACAGCCTGTAAATTAGTAGTTAGCAGTACTGAAATTAACTGAGGTGACAACTCAACTCAAGCCAGAGGTGATGAGAAGGAACTGGGATCTGATTGGAGTGGCTCTAACCTGTTGATCATTGTCTAGAGACAAAAGGAGGTGAAGGGGCGTCCTTTAACTCAATGGTCATAGATGACTGAAGAGTTCCCAGGCTCCAGTAACCTCAACATGCACTCAACCACAGGGAAATCTGTACATGGATTATCACTCAAAGAATAGCAGGTTTTGGGAAATGAGTAACTCAAAACATGACATAAACTAAGACAATGCTGGTGATTCAAAATGTGCCATTTATCAGATTGAGGGAATTTAACCTAAGAATTGTAGAAAAGCAGAAGCAGTTCAGGGAACTGCCGAACACCAAAAAGTTTTCTGCATTTTAATAGTGAGTAATTTGCCTCTGGAAGCAGCAAGAATACCCACAAAAATACTACAAGGGTTAGAATGTGTGAGAAGTACTTAGAGGGAAGCCAATATGATCATGTAATAGGAAACCCTAGCCCGGCTACCAGGAAGCAGAGTGGCCCTGTAACAGGGAGCCCTAGCCCTGTTATCAGGGAGCAGAGCTGCCCCTTTAAATCCAAAACCTTCCTAGCGCAGCTGTCCAGTCAAGCAGGGGTTAAGGATCGAGCCCTGCCAGCTGGTCAGGTGACAGGAAGGGCAAGACCAAACCTCAAGCAGAGAAGGTCAAGGAGGTGGCAGAGGAGACTTTGGATAACTATGGAGCAGCTGCAGCAGCCTCCTTGGGAAGAACACACCATGCTG